TTGACCTTCATCGCTCCCGCTGAGCTTGAGATTAGACGACGCATTAGACAGTTTGCCGAGCTCGATGTCGGACGTGCCTGTCATTTTATGACTTCCGTCGAAACCCAACACGTGAATGGATCTGATAAGTTGATAGTGTTTCCAGCTTGGCAATCGGACAGACCACCCTCTAGGATGGGGAGGAGGAGGTGGAGGAGGTCTTGCTTTGCCCTGTTCTCTATCCAAATGTAGTGGGCACGCGCCTGCTGCACTGGTACACTCCTGCGTAAAGTAAGGCTCGCACTTTATTGCAGGAGGGGAAAGATTGTGTGTCAATACGTGTGACAGCCAGGAAGGCAGGGTAGGAGCGACGGGCTCTGCCGTTCCGACAACAGAGATGGCACGAGTGGTCAGACCCGCCTGAACGCGACGCGACGCCACCTCGAGCTCCAAATACCAAAGCACGAGACAGTGCTAGAGCATTTTTTCATGCAATAGATGAGACATGTGCCCCCGACGGTGTCTGGGACACGGGCACGTGACACGTCGCGTGACGGGCGAGTGTATCCTGGCAGATCCAGCGGGGCGCCCCACCATGCTCGGCCTCCATCACGCACATCGCCCATGTTACTTTCCCGTTTCGCCACTGCCTCGCTGCGACCGGGGGAGGCTACTAGGCAGGACATGCTTCTGACACAACCATTTCATGTATAGGAAAGGGCGAGAAAGCCTATGTTTGCAAGATTTCACCTCCCCGGCCACCACGCCAAGTCCGCAAGATCCAAAGCCAAGGAAGTAAATGGCAACGGAAGTCACACACAGCTTCCGACATCATCTAGTCAAGATGTACCCTCCCGATCTCCTCCTTTCGCGCTGCACTCTGGAGGGGCTACTCGAGATCCTTTATCGCCCTGCCGACTTGGATATTTATACTCGGCCCCTTTGGTGCACAAGGCAGGTGGGCAGGCCAAAGAGTTGGACATGCAGGACGGGATGCACATCGACATAGGCCAAGAGCTTGGCCGGCTGAAACATACGCTTCATGATGCCCAACGCCGCATTCTCTTTCGTGCCGAAGTTGCGACTGTGAAGAATTGCAGAAAGCTTTTAACTATAGGGTGTCGGATGCTACACTACACGGGAATTGGCAAGCCGTCCTGCTTGATATTCGAGAAAGAAAAACCTGTCGGAGAGACCAACGTGTTGAGCATTGAGACCCTAACTGAGCTCTTTGCAGCAGGAGGGGTCAGGACTCAGCTGGTATTTGTTAGCGCCCGGCATTCAGAAATTGTCGGCAGAGCTTTCATCGCTGCGGGGGTGCGGCACGTGGTGGCAATGAAGTGGGACGCCAAGGTCTCGGACCGCGCCGCCTGCATTTTCGCCGAATTCTTCTATTTGTCGATTGCCATGGGACGGACTGTGCGGCAGGCCTTCGAAGTAGCCAGCACGGCAGCGGTGACAGAGACGGGGGTCTCGTCAGAGGATGAGCAGTTTCTCTTGTTGCCGGCGGACGGGGAGCACGACCTAGCCGTGTTTGACGACGCGGAGATGGGCGAGTTCGTAGACGAATCGCCCCCTCCCGTTCCTAACACATGTGATCCCCCCCCCGTCCCATTTGTCGGGCGAAATGTGGCAGCGCAAGAAGTCATAGGACTGCTCTCGATGGTCTCCCAGGGAAACCGCTGCATCACTGTGCGGGGCCGGCCGGGGGTAGGGAAGACCGCCCTGGCCTCGAAGGTCTGCCAGTATCTGGCCGAGCGAAACCAATTCGATGCTATTTATATGGTTCCGTTGCGCCGAAAAGAGTATCGATCTTACGAGAAGGAAACGCTCTGCAAGGTGATTGGCGCGGCGATAGGCTTCGAGGACGCTTCGAACGAGAGAGAGATCGTCTTCCTTTTGCAGGATAAGCATCCTTCTGGCCGCGTTATCATGGTGTTGGATGGGCCAGATCGCTTCTTCAATCGTTCCAACTCCCTCGTCCAAGTCCTCAGCTACTTGCTTTCGCGGATACACGGTCTCCATCTGCTCGTCACCGCGGAGGGCTCCGTTTTGGGAAGCGGTTCGGGGCGCTTGGAAAGCTCATCCGAGAAAGTGGTGCACCTGGGACCGTTGTCTGATGTAGCCACCGCACATATGCTTGCAAACATCGCCCCGCCTGGCTTTGATTTGGAGGAGATGATGAGCAGGCCGTATGCGACGAGGGAGGAGGCGTACGCGGAACTAGCGGCTTCTCCTGTCATACGAGAGCTGCGGGGTCATCCAAAGGCGATCGTCATGTTCGCTCCTCTTCTGGAGGATCATCGGTTGGAAGATTTGTACGACAAAGCCAAGCAATGCTACGTGGATGCTAGCCAGGTTGTGGAAGTTGACACGCCCTCGATGGGGGAAGAGGAAAGTGGCATAGGAGGAGGAGGAGGAGGAGGAGGAGGAGGAGGAGGAGGAGGAGGAGGTGGAGGAGGGTCGAGAATCAGCAGTGCAGAGAACGGGAGAGACGAAAAGCGGGAGTTAGATGCGCTGGCGTTAGCGCGGGAAACAGAAGAGGCTCGACAGTTCCTGCGAGAGCCTACTTCTCAGCGCCTGTGGTTGGAGGTTGTACGACAGGGCGGAGCTCGGCAGTCGTCAAGTATGCACCAAGGAGTTCCTTGGTATCGCTTGACCGACGCGCTGCAAGAGGAGCTCCGCAAAGCCTTGATCGATGCATTAAGGCTATCGCGATTCCATATCGAGGATTTTTGCGCCACGCATTGCTCCACCAATGGGAATGGAGGCGCTGAGGGCAGTAAAGCCTTCAGTCCGCCTGCAGTATCTGAAACAAAGCAGGACAGCAAGGTCGCTGACGGAGCCACTATTTCCATCGCGGATAAGGATGGTACCATTCGGGGCCTTGAGCCAGGAGATATTCAATTCATCAAAGACCGATTAGTCATTCGAACGCCGGAGAGTGATTTGGTGCGTATCACGGACTTTGCGGTGTTTTGTGAGGGCTGGGTCCCTGCACAAAACTCGATCGCTTTGCTATGTAGGGAATGGCTTTGCAACAAGCCACGGCTGTTACATGGCTTTTTATCGCGGAAAGAGACAGAAGCCCTGCTTCAGGGGTACAAGGAAGGTACATTTCTGTTCCGTTTCAGCACGAGCCACCTAGGGCTTCTTTCTCTCTCCTTCGTCGGCAAAAGTCGCAAGAATTATCCAAACGATGAGGAAGGTGAAAAAAAGGCAAAGGCTTTGCACATACGACATTTTTTGGTCCAAGTGGAGGAAGACCGGAGATGCGTGGTTTTCATGGAGCCCGGTCGCTCCCGACACGCCTCGTTGGAAGACTTGATCATGTCCTCTGCAAGCTTGCTAGAATTCTATCCTGGCGTTCCTAAAGCTCATGCCCTCACGCAAATGCGGCGTTACAAAAGTTCCTAAAGCTTAGGAGTGAGGATATCTTCTATTTAGAATTTTTGTTAAATTTGGAAATTTTTGGACAGAAAAAAGTACATCCGGAAATCGAGAGGAATTTCGTGCCTAAACTCGATTTGACCGAAAACATATTGTCAATATGTATAGCTAACAATTATTCATTGGTATTTGGAGGATTACTAAAAAAATGCGGCACGTGTATGAAGTGATGGAAGGGATACCTTTTTTTTCAAATCATCCGTTAAAAACGTACGGGGTTTTGGCTTTTTTGTGTAACGTGTTTTTTAAATCCATGTCTGGCCCAGGGCACGCGAAAAGATTGGTCCACCCGCGTGCCTGTGTATAAGTAGTTTACCCTCTCTGTGGTCTACGAGGGCGCCCAGCTGCTTTCACTTTGCCCGATGCCGTAATCGTCTAACTAATTGTGGCCCAGTATCTGCCCCACCAGATTCGAGTTTTAGCTTCGCTCGGTGTCGGTAGTACGCGAGAGCTCAGGGGAGGTCGAGTTACGAAAGCAGCGCTCGGAGAAGACGACAGTATTTGAAAACTTGACCTTGTGTTGTACTTGGTAAAGCCCTTAAGAAAATAAGGGGTGTTAACTTTGCATTTTGTTCGTGTGGCTGAACTCTCAGATGCAACCTATCTCTTTGCCGTGTTACACACGATGAGCACACCGTACCCTGCAAGTCAGTTGCCAGCAACGAAAGAAGTGGTAACGACACCAGTAGCGATGCATGCGAAATTCAAAATAATGTTAAAACAATGTATTTGCTCAAGAAAAATCAAGGACACTTAGAGTTTAAAATTGAAGTGTCTTGCAAGAGCTGCTGTTACAAAATATGCCATTCCCCTTGCTTTCTCAATATAGGGTTTTCTGAGCCAGTGTGCTCCATGACACGCGTGCGCTTGGTAGATAGGACAATCTACAAAAAATGAATCGGAATTTTGTCGAATATGAAGGCCGGAAAGGCAGTCACACAATCTCTGTGAGGGGAACGGAGCAAAACATGAAAGGAGCTAAATGCCATTTGATGGCATTGGTATCTGCTTTGCAAGGATCTTAAAGCCAAATCATCTCATGGGTGATCAGTCTCACCACTTTAGAACATGGTTAGAATACATCAATTTGGCGTGCGTGTGTGTTAGCATGCAGCGGTGTGCTCATATCATGCAGGTCTTCGCAGGGGAGTTCCGCGCACGACCAAACCTCGTGCGGGATCGACCGCATCCCTGGGCAGCATCCGTGCGCCTGAAGACCATCGCGCTACGAAATATGCCGACATATTGGGACTTTCTTATTCTAAAGACCCTGAAAATTGGTATCTCATCTGTGCCATAATTTGATGTGGTGGTTTATGAGTCATGATATGCGTCAACGAGACGCTCACAATACTCTCAGACCTTACTATCGCGGTGTAAGATGCAACCCCAATCGATCGAATGCAAAGATTCATTGAGGGGGCATTTCTGTCCGTCTTTTTGCTTCGATTTGTCATGGCGAAGTCATACCGACTTTCAACACAACATCTACAGTCAATGAATGAAGCAGCGAGCTTTCATCATCGGTATGTCGAGGTCGCGCAAATGAAGGGAAAGGATGCAAAGTGTCGGCTGAAAGGGCAGCAGCAGCAAGTGAGAGACTACCAAGATGGACGTTATGAACACTTCGAATGTTTCTCTCCTGTCATTATTTGTCGCAGCGCCGTACGCAATGTTTGCTGCGATCCTGTCTCTCACGGTTTCCAAGCCCTCCACTCTACATACGTGGTTGGTGCTGAAAATGAAGGGAAAAGGCGAGCTCACATAGCGTGCTTCGTTTTTAAAGAATTGAATACTACCGATTGTTTACAATTGACCTACTTTCCCGGTATCCTTTTGTCGCATGAGGCGGGGAAGAGACACTCGCAAAGGGGCGGATTGCCATTCCGCAACCGCCGGAAGCTCAGCGAGACCCTACGCCCACGTGAGACAAGTCGGCCATTCACTTTGTCTGTCTTGCGACTAGCTAGTCCATGGGTCCAATTATAGCGAGCTTCCCCCTGCAGCACAAGCAAAGACCTCCGAGGAAGCAGCAAGGAGCATCGGGGGCCCGCTTCCCCGTCCTGAAGATCGTTATGCCTTTGTTCCCTGAAGTCCATGACGTAAGCACTTCCCAACGACATGATCAGCAGTCCATCCTCGAATAAGGAATGTGCATCTATATGGGCCGCAATGCCGTCTCCTGGTTGGTATTCATTGACAGTCATCTGATCACGGCCGAGGCAGGAAGCGTCCGTATCGGCGAGTGGCCCGCTCGGCCAGGCAACGCCGCACGCCTGTTGCTGTCGCCGTGCACGCGCCAGCAAGTCTCGACATTGGATGGGAATTGGAACGGTAGGTCGCCTTGTGTCAAGGCTTTTAGATCGAAAATCGATAGCCGCCGCGCCATAGTGCTGCGTCCGCCGAGTTACACCAGACTTGTCCCATTGCTTTGAGTCAAGCAGGGTTAGTAGCGATGATTCCTCTGCTTCGTTCAGAAACATGAAAAGCTGTAGCCCTTTAGGAAGACATGTAGCAGGAGTTAGGGTGTCTGCGAGAGGATCCACAATGACATTTTCAGGCTCGGGATTAATTTTGGCCTCATACGCTCGCCCGAACAGGACTGTGACTGGATGACGGGAAAGTCGACGTGGAAGCACTCGACCCTGCCACTCCTGCCTGACCTTTTCTGCTGTTTTGATGGAATCAAATGTCATATATGTTTTCCCAGGAAGAATTTGAACAGCAATGATAGCCGCGTCTGTCGAAAAAAGTGACCGAAAACGCGTCTCCCACTCGCTCCTCGCGACGTCGTCACCCTTCATGCCTACGCCCAGGAAGCACAGTGTGTCGGAGGATTGGACCGAAGGGCAGTATGGCATAAAATTAAACTTGTCTGTGCTTGATGGAAGAGGTCTGAATGAGGCAGACGTGGTCACGGGTTGTATAAGGGTCACGAGACCTAGGGAGGAGGTCGGGCAGCATGGGCGTCGCCGGCGCTCCGAGTCGGTGCGACCTGAGGAGTCGCGCCGGCGATCCCGGGTATAGTCCCGCTAATGTCTTCCAGGCAAGGGTCGAGCGCGAGGACTCCAAGCACTTCCTCAGTTGCAGGGGCAAGCGTTGTCGATGGTTCTAGAGCCTTCGTCTGACAACCCTCTGGATATCATTTCGCACAGCATCCGCAGCCTGCGAGTCCGTCGCGGGAACTACCGAGCGACGTCTTCAACAGAGCCCGGGTCTCTTTACCCACCTCAGACAAGCATGGGAGACGACGCGAACGAAAGCAAAAAAGAAGTAAGTAAATCATTTAGTCTCTCAGATGGTATGTAGATTGATTAAATACCAGGGTGGGTGCGAATATCAAAGACATCTTTCCAGCCTCCGGACAGTCATGTCAAGTTAGAGGACCTTCCCGTAAAATATCTCGCTACATTTCGAAGGTGAAACACGCATCGGACGAGTATGATGTTGTTTTTGTGAAAAATTACTATCACGAAAGGGCTCTGGGCCAATGCGTTTTGTGGCGGTTCATGCGACTTTGGTGATGTTGGGGTATACGGCCTCAGGACAAGAGTCGTCTTCGGGCTTTATCACTGACAATTAACTCAGCGGTGTAAAGCTTCTTTTCGGACGTACCTAATTAAACGCCATTTGTCTTATTCAATGTCTACTAGATCTACAATTACGAGACGAGCTGGCTCATCTTTGCAATGGCCTGGAACCAGCGCACCGACATGTCAAATCGTTTCAGGATCGCACTTGGCTCATACATCGAGGAATATAACAATAAAATTCGCATTATTGAGCGCATCCACTCCTCTACCTCGAGCGCAAACGGAGACGGAAGTCTTCAGAGGGTAATGGAATTCGACCATCCTTATCCTGCTACCAAGATCATGTGGTGCCCCGATAGAGAGCCTGTGAGCCCTCAGCGGGATCTTCTGGCGACAACAGGCGACTACTTGCGAATATGGAATGTCAATTCAGGAGAAGCGAAATTGGAGGCGTTGTTGAACAATGTGAGAAAATTAGGAAAAGGAGACGGAACATGAAGAGGCTGGAAGGAACCGTCGATGGACGCCGAACGCCTGTTGTCACTTTTTAAGCGAACGTCACACTCATGTTCACAACTTGCTTTCCCCACTATCGCTTCCTCTTGTCGCTGGATACAGAATAAAAACAGTGAATTTTGCGCGCCTCTTACCTCCTTCGATTGGAACAAAGACGACCCTTCCCTACTAGGTACGGCCTGCATTGACACGACTTGCACGATTTGGGATGTGAACGCGCAGCAGGCAAAAACTCAGATAATAGCCCACGACAAAGAGGTCTACGATATCGGTGAGGCAGAGAATTGGAGGGGTATCTTGTTACAATACCATCGAGGAAGGTCATTTGAGAAGGGCTATTGGGGACTGTCCATGATCGCCGCCAGGCAACAGTCGGTGGCTTGGCGCTGTTTGATCGCCATCCACTGATTACTTCAACCTATTTTGCGTATCCCCTCATCGTAGCTTTCGCTCGCGGTAAGGATCTTTTCGCTTCTGTGGGTGCTGACGGTTCTGTGCGCATGTTCGATTTGCGCTCTCTTGTTCACTCCACCATTATATACGAGTCGCCCGACCTGGTGCCTCTGCTCCGTCTCGCGTGGAACCGACAAGATCCCAACTATTTGGCCACCATCATGGCAGACAGCACCAAGACATATCTACTGGACATCCGGAAGCCGTCCTCGACTGTCGCGGAACTCGGCGAGCACCAGGGTGCTGTAAATTCCTTGTCCTGGGCACCACATTCTGCTTGTCATATTTGCACCTGTGGTGAGGATAGACAAGCATTGATCTGGGATTTGTCTGCTCTTCCAGGTCCTATAGAAAGCCCAATCTTGGCGTATACAGCCCAGGCGGAGATAAATAGTTTAGAGTGGTTCCAGCAAAGCCCCGAGAGAAATTGGGTCGGAATTGGTTTCGATAACCGGTTGCAGGTTTTGAGGGTTTAACGGACTGTGATGGCATGTTGTATAGTCGTAGATGAGATTGCACTTGTAGTGTGCTTACTGTGATTGCTTTGCAGCCGTGTGTGCCCGCACGGTGGGGTTGGAAGGGATGGCATTGCAGCAAATGGGAAATGTGTATGCTGTCAAAACGCTCATCCACAACCGGATTTATCGCTGCATGCCGACGCTCGTGGAACAATGTGGTAAGCAGGATTCCGAATCCGAAAGGATAGCACGCCGTGTGCAGTGATTTTATTCATGTGAAGCGATGTCGACAAAGAACAATGCGGCGCGATCGATTTACTATCTGTGAAAGCATGCGCCTCGGTCTGCTTTCTCCAGCATTTTTGTAACGCTTTATTCCCCGTAGACAAGCTTAACATGTGACCGTATAAATTGTCTGCCACGCGTGACATAAATGAGCCGGTTACAAGGTATGAGAGAAGGCAAGCCTTCTTATCAGCCTCTATTTGAAGTCACGAAAAACAAAGCTTCCTCAGCTGCCAGTCAATTCTCTTTTCGGAAACATGTACAGAAACTCGTGAGCTCGCGTCCTTCTTCCTCAGTCTTAACTGACTTCGAGATATGGCTACCTATCCATGACAAGCCTGGCCTCTCTTGATGAATCACTTCAATGACTTCATTTTTTTCCTATACAAAGGCTTTGCTGATTGCTCGATGTATGAAGCAATTGCACCTTCCCATATTCTTGACACTCAATAAGGATAAGGCGCAGTATACACCTCAGGCCTTTTCAACTCATCCTCCCGTCCCTGAAAGACCTGTGATCACGCACAAAAAGATCAGGTTGGTCCACCGTCCGCTTTAAGTTCTCATCCACCTCCCACTCTTTTATTGTTATTCTCTCCTTTTTGCTTCAAAGTCTCGGCAACTCCTCGACGAGACTACCAAAATCTTTGCTTAAGTCCGTGTTTCACATCATCCTTCCACACATGCACGTACGCAGACATCTTGGTTTCAAAAATTTACTGTATGATTCTGCTTTATCTTCCTTACTGTACTTTCTCTCACCCTTGAAAGCGAAAGAAAGTTCAGCATACATATGATCATCAGCATACCTGCACCTTCCAGAGCCCCAATCAGACTGCCTTACAATGTCTTGAAACTTGATGTTAATGTATGTATTTGACTTTACGTTAACCGTACCTCCTATGTGTACTCTTTCTCGTCATTTTCCGCGTATCGTATTTTTAAGCTTATCATTGAGCCTTTCGACAGAGATTCGCTTCTCTATCGCTCTTCAATGGTGATTCAAAAGACACATTCACTTGTGGTTCCTGCGAAGCCTTTCCTCGACACAGACCGCCCTTTTTTCCTTCCGCTCTCCGGTATATGGTTACCAAGGGCCCAAACCAGGAGCCAACGGGCGTCCCAAGTTCTAACAGCTCTTTGCGGTGGTTGTTCCACAGTACGGGATATTTATAAAAGGGAACCGTGGGGTAGAGATGATGAATATTGTGGTAATTTTGGTAAATCAAAGGAAGAGTCAGGTCCACGCCGTCAGAGGGTGCGACAAGGCCGCCTATCATGGCAGTGCATTCGTAAATGTTGTCATGCCGGGGGACGTCGTGAGGGTGGTGTGGTGCAAAGTCAAAGGAGTAAGCCAGGCAGGTATCTGTGATTATTCGAGGCAGCGCCACAAAAATAAACAGCTGCGACGACCAACCCTCCGCCAGGAGATAGCCGACCACGAAGAGAACGAGGGTGGTGACACCAAGCGCTTCAAGCGCCTCATCCTTGGGGCGGGTAAAAATGGTCGCAAAGTATCGATAATAATAATGAAGAGTTTGCGTGCACCAGAAGAAGGGCTGCACCCAAAGAGGGCCTTGGCCGGCGCTCCAGTGATCACTGATGGTGAGAGTTAGTGTGTCGTGGAAAAGGTGGAGGAGATCAGTGGGCATGGCTCGCAAACATAAGTTCTAGTAATAAGAATGAGAGTCGTCAGAAATCACGTACTGATTGCCATTTAAGGGGTCCGGAAACTCAGAATGACTGACAAAGACTATTATCGGAGCCACACAGGTTGTCATCGCACCCCCCAAGGCCCTGGACACTTACGGGTCTTTTTCCGGATCGTTAGTATACTTGTGATGGGACAAATGTATGTATCGAAATGGGCGAAATGGAGCCTGGAAGCATATCAAAGATGCAACATTTCCCACAAACTCGTTCAACCACCGGTATTCCGTGGAAATTGCTCGATGCGCAGCCTCATGCATAGGAGTGAACATGGCATATGTTGCCATCACAGTCACTGGCACCGTCCACAGGGTGGGTCGATCGTAGAAGAGAAGGAGAGGAAGTACATACGTGCCCAGAGAGGCGGCGAAAAGGGCCAGGGTGGGCCACGCGATCGGGTCGTTGGTAAGCTCGTCGTGAGTGGCCATCGCCACCTAGAGGGAATGCAGGCAGTACGCCGAGAAACACAGTTCCGCGAATCAATACGGCCAACATCCTACGTACAATAGCATCACCAATCGCAAACGTCTCCTCTTCAACAGGATTCTATATTGAAATGCGCGCCTACCCACGCCTCGACTAGTCACAGAAACTGTCAAAATGCTCCTTTTGTACTCATACGCATTGGCAAATTTTGTTCATCTAGGAGATTAGAATCCTAATCCTCTTACCCTTCGGCACCTCAATCGAGGCTCACGCTGTCGAGAAGACGACGTCGAGGCTCCTTGAAGGTCTTGGGAAGCATATAGACGCGGCGACATGGGTCTGAGGAGGTAACACAGCTCCGAGGCGAGCCTTTCAATTCCAGAGTTGGGACTAATAAAGTGTGTTTGAACATATGATCCGGGATGAGGATATAAAGAGAG